AAGGTAGTGTCAAAAAAAGCGGAAATTCGGTTACAATACCTGAGGACGAGTTTTGCGAGTAGGTGCATGAATATATGTGTCCGTGACAGTCGTAGCAGAAGTAGACTTAGTTAAAGGCTAAAGAACACATACTGGTTGCGGTTCGTTTTGTACAGTTTTAATACTCAACGCATGACAGTGAAGAAACTAATCTTGGCCAGGGCTCAAGCGATGTTCCCAAGTCTTCGCAAAAATTTATAATTTATTGCAAAATAAAAATTGGCACTTTTGTAGCTTCTGACACGCTCCCACTTTTATGACTTTTATCGATAAATCCCCTAAAAAACTTATTTGGTATGTGGTGCACTCCAATAAATGATAACAAAGACAATTGATTTAAACGAAATCCATTTGTAATGCACAGCAATGTAATTCACAGCCAAACCTGCTAGAGCTTTGCTGTAGGCAATCTCAGACCTGGCAAAGTCTTTTCGCTCTAGCTGAAATAATACTTTCAATTTACCCTCAAGTGGCAATGTTACATACCTTTGAGGTAGAATGCAATTAAATTATGTTAGGAGCCTTGCAGTGGCAGCACATGTTTCATCATCACTGACGCTGAACTCACCATGACTCGAAGCGACCTTACAGTGCTGCTCGGACTCAAATGCTGCTAGAAAATGATCGCTGATATAATTCCTTATACAGATGTGATCATCATTTCTAAACCATTAGTAGTTTCCCCACCACTTTCTTTCTAGGCTTATTACGTGCAATCCTTTAGTTAATTGCATTTCGGGATCACGTCGAAAATAGTTAAAGCTCACCAATGATTTACAAGGTATGCCTACGCTATGGACAAGCATTCGCGTACAAATTTACACATCAATCCTCTCTAAAAAATTGTCAGTTTGTCCCTTTTTTCAAATAGGTATAATCTACTGGTCTTGAACATGAGGTCGACTTGGTGCGGTTAGCCATGGCACAACCATATACACTACATCACAGCTAACCTTTTTTCCTCATTACTAAGACAATTTCACTTCTGTGGCACCTGCTACTTAAGTAGTTCTTAATGTCATTTCAAAAAGCGCCCTACCCTCTCCTTTTTTTAAAGTAATTAGATAACTTACATTAACGCTAATGAGGCAAAGCGCTTCTTTCCGCATAGCCAAAATAGGCTTTCTTGAAATTTAGCAAGTGTGTTATCTTCTGCCAATCTTACCAATGTTGACCTGGTCATTTAATGTAGTTTATAACATGTGTCCCATGCTGCAAAACACTTTTGTGATGATTGTGTGGAGTAAAACACGAACGTCCACGTCCGCTCACATTGCCATTGCGTCCAAGAGAATTTATTGAGGGTCAGGAGAATATAA